CATTATTCCACCACCAATAAAAATCCACTCTACAAACTTTTGTCATAGTTCATCTCTTCCACTCAAATTCAATGACATGATACATAACTGGCTTTTTTCATAATTCTGGGAATAGGCTTTGTTTGTTTGATTTATACACAATGTTAAGTGCATCACTTTTACAATTGATACCTGATTTGCTTACTGAGAAGCTTCTTATAAAAACAAAATTTTAATCCTATAACTGGGTATCTGGCTACTAACAGCTTGGGGGATGAGTGTCCTAAATCTACAGAGTCATAATCTGATAACTTATGAACTTTCTATCTTGATGCTTCCAACCAAGTTTAATTGTAATAATTATTAACAAACCAGTAACAAATACAAGGGAACTATGGTAAAAGTTTGTAGAGTAATTTACCGCGTTTTGACTATATATACATGTATATTTTAAATAACTACTATCTACAATTTAAACTGTCCTGTACACTTGTTCTTCTTAATTATTTTCACAGATTTTTACACGATTTAGGATTCTGTAGTTGGTGCTCCAGTTTTAAAAAAATGACATTGTCAATATCTGAGTGTTTTTACACATACTTTTGTTACAGAAGGAAATTAGATACCTGCACATTTTTTTTATTAATGAGAACTTGCAAGCGTTTTATAAATGATGAATTGACGAGCAACCTGTCCGTTCCTATTTATAGTTTTAGTACATACTGAGTGTCTCTTAGCCATTTGCTTCAATGACTTAATAGTGTATATAATGTAGCAATGTATTGTGGGGGCAAATCAGCATAATAAAACTAAGAATTTTTTAGTTACCTAGGATGTTCGTCCTTCCGTATTTTAAAAAGTCTTTGTATTTTAAATATTTTCCACCCATCAGTAGTAACCATCATGATATAAAAATAATAAAAGACCAAACTAGCTGACATGAAAAAATTTGTATTATGTGATGTAGTCATGTTACGTTTCATTTAAGAGTCGATACGTAAACGGAGTAAAGAAAGATAATAAGACAAAAGTTCTTAAAATATTTTATTTTTAGAGAGAGGTTTCGAGGTGTCGCAGGCCATTTTCGAATCGAATCGCTGCTCACTGAAATGAAGAGAGAAAGACGGAAGAACGTTCCAGTTACTCCAGTATCGTTGAGTGCTCTTGGTGAAACTTTGCAAAACTATCCTCCTGTTGCAGGAATTTACAGAGGAGCAGCTTCATCAATTGACGGTGGCTGTGCGCTTATATTTATACACCCTGAAATGGAAGAACCATTAAGGCGCTGCACACAACTGTATTCTGATGGCACATTTCAGGTGAGAACTTAATAGTTCACGTTTTTTTTTCTCCCTTATTTATTTTATCGTATTTTAACAATAGATTTTACCAAGACATCCACCTGACATGACTCAGCTGTACACAATCCATTTCCGGCGTTTGGATCATGTAAAAAAATATTCTGAAGTTGTAATTATAAGTATTTACAGAAATATTTCATCTTAAAATTCTCTTTTGACAATTCACTTACTCGATTAATCGATTCGCCATCATAACTAGTGCCAAAAACATTGATCAGTTGCACGTGTTAATGATTACTCGTGTGGGAATTTATCTTGTTCACAAAAGTTACTTAAAAAGTTGTGAAAATACTAGACGTCCATTAACCCGTTTTATGCTATTGCTATTAGCTGTTATTCGGAGACTAAANTTTTTAAAGATGGTTGCGTAACTGGAACTCTGCAAACAGGGCAAATCCTCCGGGTGTCAGAGAGTCTACTTATTCTACCAGAGCAAGGCTCACAAAGACACATGTGTCCGCATTGTAGAGCGTGTGTTACTTTCCGGGTCATACATATAGAGCAGTTTCCTTTAGCTAAAATAAAGGGGCATTAGCGAATAAGTTCAGTGAACGATTTATTTTAATATGCAGGCATAATATTTAATTTAAAAAATCAGATAATTAAGGAAGATAATTGACCTTACAACTTTAGTTATACAAAATTAAAAAGTATAGCAATTATATTCTAATATTTTTCATAAGTAACACGGTGCAAGCCACTAAAATGTGTAGGCTTTTTTGACGTTTCGTTGATCTTGTTGTTGCAGAACACACTTATATAATATTGTTAATAAATAAATAATTTCAACGTTCACGGACAAGGTTTTGATTTGATTTAATGATTGAAATACCATATTTTATTGATACAGATGTACATACATATACTCCATAAAAATATCTCTTAACAAAACTAAAAGGTTTGGGTAAGTTTGATGTATGAAATTAATATTTCGTTCACGAGATATTAGTAAAATAAAGCTTAAATACAATTTTTACATGGACCCTTCGATTAAAAAAATTTTTAATGATTTTTTCCGCGTAATCAGTGTACTTGAATACATTTAATTTTAATAAAGCACCCTTGCTCATCAAATTCCTAATTGAGAAATATGGTAAGTGGTCGAAGTACTCCGTGTCAGAATGGTTAATAGCTCATAACGGCTTGTATACTACATAATGGGTAGTTAAATTAATCCCTACAATTCTGAAGAACAAATGCATGTACGTCTGTGAGATTATTGATGACCTTGACACTGGAATAATTGACGCTACAATATCTTGGTTCATGATACTTTGAGTACGTTTATTTTTGTGATAAGTAGGTCGGTCCAATTCCTCTAGTACGTCAAGCTATACACATAGTGAACATAGGTACACTTGAGGAATGGGACCGACTGACCGACCACACCAAAAACGTACCCTATAAATGTATGCCGCAGCTTATTAGCTTTGTAGTATCAGACATTAGTACGGAGATTGCCACTATTTCCAGTGTCTATACTAAAGAGTGTGCCGATGTTTCGACGCTGATTTGAGCGCTAATCCATCGTGGTCAGCAGAGGAACTATGCACACGTTTTCTAATGGCTGACGGCTCGAAGGCCCAGTTCGTGGGAGAGCTGAAGGGATATGAGAAAGGGAGAAATGAGAAATCCAAATGTGTGCATCGGTGATGGAGAGGGGCAGCTAAATCTATACGTATATGCATGCAACTGACTGTATACCTATAGCTATAGTTGTATACTCACATATGCACGGAGAAAAGCAGCTAAGTGTACTACTTTTCTTGCTTTTCCTCTCTGAAAGCAAGATAAGCTTACTAAATACAGTTGATCATTCAGCTATAGAAACAAAACCATATTTGTCCAATTAATAATGTTGTTTCTTTCATTTTTCAACAAATGACGAGTTGAACACTAATCAGTTACTATTTTTGTTTATTTATAAATGATCACCTTTACTCCAACAACCCAGTGTACTCAATAATTCTTCACTTTTACGGTAAGTGACATTATTGAATAAAAACGAACGCATTGACCACAACGACACAGTGCGCTCAATTCTTTTTATTTTTTTTCTTAAATAAGTAATATTAATTACTAATATACGAACGCCTTTACCCAAATGATCCAGTGCACTGGCGCATTCGCCCAGCAGAGGCCCCGAAAGAGAACATTTCTTTTTTTTCTTCCTTTCTTTCATACTCCCGCTCTTTCGCCATCGAATCATACGTACTTATGTAGATACCGGTATAATATCGTAAGCAATTGCATCGTGTATATTTATTTGTAGGGATTCAATGTGTCACAAACGTCCGTGAAACTTGTAAGATTCATCATCCGTCGTGTAAATTATCATTTTAATGTACCTGTTCGTACATGCACGTATATGAAAACCATAATTATTATTATTATTATTGTTATTATTATCATCATCTT